GAAAAAGGGCACATTCCAATTTAGATTTTTACAAAAATTCACAAAAAACTAATACTTCTTACCTGAGACCCCATGACAAAAGAAAAAATTTTTCTTTTTTTTGACTTGAACTGTTAAAAACGGGCTACATCTAAAATTATGTGAGACCCAACACTCGGGCAAGGGTAACGGGTTTTCCGGGGGAACATAATTTTAAAAGAAAATTTTAACTGGGCCCCTTGGGTTTTGGGTGTTCTGAAAGGGAAAATTAATAAATTACAAAATTATATGAACTATTCAAAAGATCAATTAAACTACATATGGTGCGTAAACGAAAAAACCAAACTTTAGTGGTTTCCCGCCCAGCATGGTCCAGACCCCCTGCGCATCCGTCGGGTCTGATCGGGGAATCCTTTGCTTTTAGCTTCGTTTTTCTACTGTAATGGGTTTGGAAAGGCGAACAGCATGGTTTCCTAAATTTTTACTGCGCGGAGGGTTTGGGGCTGGTCTGGACCCATGCTGGGCGAAAACCCTTTAAAGTTGGTTTTGCCCATGGAAGGTTTCATATAAATATATAATTACATGTTTTAAATTCCAAAAAAGAGGTTTTTCCACGCAGTTAGCAATGTTTGAAAATTGGGTTTAAAGCCCAAAATATGCCCAATATTGACATAGATGACAAAAAAAAATTTTTTTTGTACAGTTTTAAGTTTTTTATTAAATTTTTTTTTAAAAAAAATTAAAGGGTTCCCTTTTAAATTTTTTTGGGTATTCTATTTAAATTTCGGGGGGTGTTTTGTACAAACACATTTTTTTGGGTGAAATAGACTAAAAAATTTGGGCAAGCAATCACGGGTTTTGGGGTTGACATACAATTCTCAATAAATTAATTATCTTGGAAAAGTCAACTTTTATTTAACCAGCTACCAAAAACTGAATACCAATAACTTTTGCTTTCATCCAATTCCTGGAAACAGAAATAAACTAAAATAGCTACTGCGCTATTTTACGCATATAAAAAAAACAACAACAAAACCTTAATTAACAATTCCAAAATTGCTTCAATTGCATAATACAACAAATTGTCTCTATTTTGGAACTCCCAAATTCTAATACTAGCCCTTTTTTCCCTAAAATCATCAATCACCAAAGAAACTAAGTCTTCTCTTTTACACATGCCTTTTATAGCAGATTGGGTTAGGCTTTGCTTCTCAGTTTTTGCTAATTTGTCAGACTGTCAATGTAATGTAGAAATAAATGAGCGAGATTATCCTCTAAAATAGAAACTGTCAAATGAAACACTGACAAAACAATCAGTAGAAAAGTTCTGAACATTCATCACTCTTTGTTAACTGGCTTTTATCAAAAGATGTATTCCCATTTATTGAAATGAGGGTATTATTTAAACAAAACATTTAAGATATTCACATTATGTTAGCTAGGGCAATGATCTTTGTATAGTTCTAAACATTTTTATCTCAAATTCAATCTATTTAATCTTATAAATAAATGTTTTGATGTCAGGATGGAGTAGGGAGATCATGTGGTCAGTTTCAAGTCACTTTATTATTACTGTTTAATCAGATTATTATGTAACTTTCTTGCTTTACTGGTAAAGTATGACCCAAGGCACCCCTATGTGCCCTATTTCATGTACAAGTAGACCCTTGTGCAGTAGAAACTTGTTTGACTTCAAATTGGGGGTCATTTACTTGTATTAAAATTACAAACAAGTCTTTCTGAATCTCTTAAAACTAGAGATCCAATGTAATGGCGCTTTAAATCTTGCACAAACTAGTTGCCACTTTTGGAATAGAATAAATTCTATGCCTGTTGCGCTATCCTCTCCATACTAGACTCCTGGAATGAGCCACCGTGACGGGATTCCGGTAACTATATTGAATGTATATCACACACAAATATGAGCAGAGCCACTGACCTCAATTAATCCACTGGGTGCTTACAGTGTTATGATACAGACGTTATTACCACTTGTTTTAAGTCAAGCCAGGCCTACATTAACCCTTGTGGGGGAAGAGTGGAGTACAGTTAGAGCCCCTAGACCTCATATCTGAAGGTTGTTGGCTTGTGTCTCACCTCTACTTCTTCAGAACTGGTACTACATTGTATTATCAGTCAGAGAACACACTAAGCGTGTAGTTATTTTGAGCAAATCAAAATATCCATGTCCCAAGAAATAGGTTTGATGTTAGAGATACAAGAGCCATGTCAACATGGCCATCCCCCGCCGAATGTGTTTGCTCATTGGAAGAATGTATATGTAGTAGAGCAGAATAACTCCATTTTAAGAGGTCTTTTGGTAATGAAAACTGATGGCTATAGTGATTACAGATTTGAAACCTATGTGAATACTGATGGCTGAAAATAACAAAGGGCAATAACTGAAAAATATTGCAGGGTAGGTTATCATTCTTGTGTGCTGCATCCCTCCTCAGTAAAATCTATCCACCTATGAAGTTTCAAGTTGATACCTCAAATACTTTTAAGAAAAAAATTGAATTGAAAAATTAAGTATGAAAAATAACAAAGGGCAATAACTCAAAAATTATAAAAGGTAGAGTTATCATTCTTGTGCACTGCACACCTCCTGAGTTAGATCTATGCACCTATGAAGTTTCATAATGATATCTCAAAGGCCTTTTGAGTTATGCTCTGGACAAAAATTAATTTTGAAAAATAAAAAAGGGCAATAACTAAACAATTATGCAGGGTAGAATTATCGTTCTTGTGCACTGCACTCCTCCTCAATGAGATCCATCCACCTATGAAGTTTCAAGTTGATACCTCAAATACTTTTTGAGATAAGCTCTGGACAAAATATTATGAAAAAGAACAAAGAGGAATAACTCAAAAATTGTATAGGGAAGAGTTATCATTCTTGTGCACAGCATTCCTCCTCAATAATATCTATCCACCTATGACATTTCATGTTGACATCTCAAACACTTTTGAGTTATGCTCCACTCGGGTGAAAAATTAAGTATGAAAAATAACAAAAGGCAATAACTCAAAAATTATGAAAGGTAGAGTTATCATTCTTGTGCACTGCACACCTCCTGAGTGAGATCTATGCACCTATGAAGTTTCATGTTGATATCTTAAAGGCTTTTTGAGGTATGCTCTGGACAAAAATCAATTTTGAAAATAACAAAGGGCAATAACTAAACAATTATGCAGGGTAGAGTTATCATTCTTGTGCACTGCACTCCTCCTCAATGAGATCCATCCAGCTATGAAGTTTCAAGTTGATACCTCAAATACTTTTTGAGATAAGCTCAGGACAAAATAGCATGAAAAAGAACAAAGGGCAATAACTCAAAAATTGTATAGGGAAGAGTTATCATTCTTGTGCTCAGCATTCCTCCTCAATAAGATCTATCCACCTATGACATTTCATGTTGATATATCAAACACTTTTTGAGATATGCTCCACTCGGGTGAAAAATTAAGTATGAAAAATAACAAAGGGCAATAACTCAAAAATTATGAAAGGTAGAGTTATCATTCTTGTGCACTGCACACCTCCTCAGTGAGATCTATGCACCTATGAAGTTTCATGTTGATATCTCATAGGCTTTTTGAGTTATGCTCTGGACAAAAATCAATTTTGAAAAATAACAAAGGGCAATAACTCAAAAATTATGCAGGGTAGTGTTATCATTCTTATGCACTGCACTCCTCCTCAATGAGGTCTATCCACCTATGAAGTTTCAAGTTGATATTTCAAATACATTTAGAGATATGCTCCGGACAAAAATGTCGGACAGAAGGACGGACGGACGGAAGGTCGGACGTTCTCACAGGACAGTAATTATGTGGCTACTCTATTGTTCTCTCTATTGTTCTTTTTAGCCACACAAAAGAAAATAGCCACATAAAAGCATTACGGAATGAATGACATCAAAGAGAAAGAACAGTTACCTATTGTCCCTCTAGCCACATAATTACTCTCCTGTGAGTGCGGACTGACGGACAGACGGAGACTATTACTATATCGGGCATAATCCCCCACCGCCTTTTCGGCTGGGGATAAAAAGACTCTATACAAATGGCTGGTTAATTCTAGTATTTTGATTTTGAAAATTAAATGTTATTGTTTTCAAGCAAGACGCATCCATTAAACAAATTCAACAGGGTAATGATTAAGGCAGATGGATTATGCATATTAAACATTCAATCACTCGAAGTTTTAAGTTATATTACCAAAGAAATCAGCTTTATTCTCATTTCCAATAGCAATGTTTATATATGAAGTGTGTCAACAATATGCTTTTATCATTAACTTAAGTTCTGAGAACTTCCACAACTATCCTGTAAATATATTTTAAATTGGTATTAAATTGCAATATTAGACAAGATTTGCTGCATTAATTTTGTCAGAGCAAAAAATTCCAAAAAGCAGGTTGTTGAACATTTTATACGGCATCAGTGCAATCTACATTGAAGGAATGGACCTCTTTGGCTGACTGGTTCAGTGCCTCAAGTGAAAATCAGGCACAAAACAATATGGGTGAACACAAAGTTGTATTTAATAAAATATGTTTGCTTTATCCCATGTCTTTGCTTAGCGATTGATGCCATCAGGAAATTTCATTTTATTTGGTTTTATAAGCAATTTTACACAAAAAGGTCATATATATTTTTTTTTCACAATAAGGTCATATTTTTTGCTATTGCCAAGGTGAAAATCTGTGAGAAAAAAACAAATACAAGTAATGTATTGTGGAATATCTGTATTAACTCACTTAACAATTTTCTGGTGGACAGAGGCGGACGGACGAATATATAACCAAACTACCATACTCACTTGCAATATCAAATAAACCCCATAAAACCTACCTATACTGTGTTGGTGCCTTTTGCACCATAAAACAAAACAAACAGAAAGTTTAACCAATCTTATAAACAGAAAAATCGTTCATTTGATTCCAGAGCTAAAATATAGTTGCAGTTCAAATGCAGTTTTTGTCTAAAATTGACTGAATTCTTTTTTATATAAATAAGTAGCAAACCTGTTGTCCTTGACAGCAAAATTATCAATGTCAATCTCAAATACTTCAAACAGGGAGTTGTTAATCTCTTCTTGCGTGGGAGAGTGCTGCTGTTTTCGGGTCATCTTGTCACTAAACTGACCCTTCGACGCTTTCATCATTCTCCATCAAGACTGACAGTTATCTCCCTGTAAATAGAATTTATATCACAAATGCATTTACAAGGGAGACAATTTAAGTAATGAAGTATACTGCATTCACAAAGGGAAGTAATCCATGCATTACTGCCTTATCAAGAGAAGCAATCCAAGTACTCTGGTATTGAAATTCATTGCATATACAAGGGAAATAATCCAATTATTTAAGGTATATTAGTATTTGTCTTCCATAACACAAGCAAGATGAATTCACTGGAAAACAGAGGTCTTATCTGTAAATTTAATAAACTTCTATTCTATTCTGGTAACCAGAAAATAATTATCTTCAAGAATACATGTACATTGTAATTTTCATGAATTTATACATTTTAAATGCTATAATAATAGTTTTCAATGCTCCCACAATTTGCAGGTCCAAACTTTTTTTCGTTTTTTTAGTTTTTCCCCCAATCAATGATTATTTTCACTATCAATATATATTATCATATCTTTTACTGTTATGTCCAAGATGAAAAAAGGTTGATAAATTTTCAAATGTCTCAAAAAGTGCATATTCAAGGGAAGTAATCAATGAATATAAATACATAAGTTTTTTATGGATTTAACTCCCATTATGAAGCTACAAACTCCATATTAAACATGATAAACTGTGCCATTATAAGTATCATGGATTTTAGATTCTCTGTCAATAATCTTCATAATGTATCATAATTGCAAGCCTTCTGGAAGCAGTGTGCACAATTATTGCTATAATGTAGTACCATACAGGATAGAAATAATGACATTACAGACACAAGACTGACTGATTTATTCCCCTTAATGTTAAAATGTTAAGCACAAAGTAAGACCAAGTGAGACAGTAGCCGGTAAAATTCTTAAAATGGTTTTCTTCTGATCAGGCCAAGCAATTGTACTAACTATCTTTTCTGCACTTTGCAAATGCTAATAGGCTGAACAGTTGCTGGACATTTTGAAAGAAGGAATACATACATCTTCAGAAAATATGTCTCTGAACAAAAAGATACAATGAATTGACTTTTAGCCAGCTGTCAGCAGCTGAATCAATTTGGGACCAGGGCAGACCTAGATTGGCTGGCACATCCCTGTTGTCTTATTATGGCCTGCACAGCCGTTAGCTATTCTGTTAAGAATAATTTTGAAATTCTCCTTAAAAAATGATAAATGATTTTGTCAAGATAGAAAGATTGTCATGTCCATTTAAGATGTATAGCATGGAAAGGGTTAAAATAGGTCTCTTGACATTCTTTTATTTACAGTGCAGTGCAACGTAATTTTAGTTTAAAATAAGGCTAATATTTTTGTTACTGATCTGATAAAAAACAATTAACAACAACGAAATATGCACAACATCTCAGCATAATTAACATCAAAGATTTTAGTAACTTTCTACCAATTACATTGTATTTCAACAGTAATGAGAAGAATGCTTTTAATTTGGTGATTTTGGCTAACCTCAGGTGTTAAAACTCCAAAGCAGGGCTAAGATATGCATAGAATCAATTATTCTTATCCATTTAGTCCCCTCTTACAATCATGCAAGTATAAAATGGTGGCTGCAATTTTTATTCTTCTGCCATTAAAGGGGCACAACTCTGGAGGTACTATATCTACTAAGAAACATTCCTAATGAACAATTTTCAATTATGTCTTTTGATGTTAATGTCAGAAACAATGTATATAAAGCTTTAATTTGATTAAGATTAGGGTAATAACTATGGTGTCACTGGTTCAATACATAAATAAAAGTAAACTTTTTATTTTGATATGTATAGACAGTTACTGTTAGTGGTCATGTATAAAAGTAGTGTTGATGACATTGAGCATAATATATGATAACAATCATGTTACTTTTTGTCATCTATTTACAAAGCTTACAAATGCCTTGAGATTTTAGGACCTTAATAATCAGGGATTTTTTGCCCTATAATACTTGGATCCCATTTTTCAATCATGTTAACCCTTTAGCCTGTTAACCTGCCAGTGCAGACCAAGATCAGATCAGACAGCACTACTGTCCTGTTTGTTTACGGTCTGCACTGTTCCCTCCTTATCTAGGTCAAAACACATTTTGAAATATTCTCTAAAAATTGTTGACTTAGGTTTAGTACAGATTGAAAAATGGACAAGACCATTTAATTTAAAATACTAAGCATCGAAAGTGCAGACTAAGATCTGATTTTTGCTGTTTTATCATAGTTTCCTATTCAGTCAGTACGGATTGAAATTTTCCATTAAAGTGGATTGGTCTACAATTGACACATTTTCTATAAGTATTTCAAATATAAATAAAAACAAAAGAAACTATGAAAGTTCATATTATAACCCCGAGTTAGCTGAGAAAAACCCAAAATATTCTTAATTCCTAAGTAAGACTCTTTTGGAGTCATCAATAGCACGCTAAAGGTTATTTAGCTTATATCCCTGAAAATCTAAATGGAGTCCACATTATTTTAAAAATGTTGGACATATGTAAAGCATTTTTATTAATGCTCTTAATTGCTTAATGACTGCAGTTTCTTAACATGAATGATTCCATTTAAATAGCAACAAGCATGTCAGAAAATAAAATTTTCATTCATTTTTGTCATATCTAAATTTTGAATGAAATAACACTGCATAATTTTACTCGGTGGTCCGGACTGCATTATTTGCTTAAACTTAATAACGCCATTACAACCGTCAATAAGAATTTATATAATCAGAAACTATTCAATCAGAATACAATATAAGCGCAAAAACTAACAATATTACATGCTAAATGAACATCTCTAATACTTAAACGGCACGGTAAAGATTTACCAAAATTGACACGATAGAAAATAAATGAAAAACTGATCTTCTGTCTATGCAATAATGCCTAATATGACATTGAAATATCTCCATTCTACTTGATGTCTTCAATGACACAATACTAGTTTGCTCGGGCCAAAACCCGTGATTGGCAGAAATATGTTTATAGTATAAAAGAATCCTTTAACATGTCATAGAGCCATAAATTTTAAATTTTTCATTTTTTTTAACGTATTGAAAGATAAATGTTACAACGGGAAATCAGTCCCAAAAATCTTGTTTCGGTTAATCAGTGAGAAATCTTACTGATTTAAAAATGATAAACCTATTTAAGAGCACGATGAAATCAAAAGTTTAAATTACTGATTGATTAAAAGGCCACTTTATCTACAGTAGACACAACTTGATGAATTACTTTTTAAATACTATAAAATTAATCATATTTTTATTAAGTGCCGATGATACATATTCCTTATGAGTGAGATTTTGATTATATCTAAACACATATACTAGTGATGATATCACTGTAAATGTTTTTCTTGATACCAGTACAATGGCTTCTGTACCAATACTAACCAATCCTTTGGTTTATACAGAATTTATTTTAGTTAAGACACACTTTCGAATCCGTTCCTGGAACCAATCAGCACTGAGCAATGAGTGTAAAGTTTCTTGCTCAAAGAAACAACGACTTGCCACTGACGGGGTTTGAACCTGTGCGGCTAGCGATCAATAGATTACTAGTCCAACATGTTAACCACTCGGTCATGCCGCCACATAACCAATCCTTTACCAATACCATTCTGTTATATACCAGTACTCAATGAAACTATACCATTACTAACTGATTTTCAAAACTAGAAATGTGTCATCATGTCACGGATGCCCCCGCATGCAGCCAAAATTCCAGATGTTATATCATTTAGTTCCAAATTTGTTTGCACAAATTATTTTTTTCATTCTAAGTTCAAAGCCCTTAAAACTTTTCAATGTTAACACAAACCATTTCCATACAATGTTCAAGGCACTGAAATTATTCAGTCTTAACCTTTTGAAAATAGCATATTTCATATTTGTAGCCAAAATAATGGCTACATACATTTCCACAAAAGTATGAGTGCTGAAACTGAAAGTTCAAAATTTTTCCAACATTCAAGAAAGATAAGTTTGTCCAAAATCATTGAGCCACGACCAAATTTAAACTTAAACTGCTTATTCCTAAGATGTATCTATATTATTTTCAAAGTGAAAGGGACATAACTCTGCCAAAAAATCATCGAACCATGACCAAATTCCAACTTGACCTGCCCATTCCTTTGACATATCCATATGTCAAATTTGAGTTGAATATGTAACACTGTTGGGTAGATAATGAACAGAAACTGTAAATTTCATATTATTTTCAAAGTGAAAGGGGCTTTACTCTGCTAAAAATCATTGAACCATGACCAAATTCGAACTTGGCCTGAGCATTCCAAAAACATATCCATATGTCAAATTTTAGTTGAATGTGTTGTTCTGGTGGGGAGATAATAAACAGAAACTGAAAATTTCATATTATTTTCAAAGTAAAAGGTGCAAAAATCATTGAACCATGACCAAATTTGAACTTGACCTGCGCATTCCTTTGACATATCCATATGTCAAGTTTGAGTTGAATGTGTTGTACCGTTGGGGAGATAATGAACGGAAACTGAAAATTTCATATTATTTTTAAAGTGAAAGTGCATAACTCTGCCAAAAATCATCGAACCATGACCAAATTTGAACTTGACCTGTATTTTATCATGACATATCCATATGTCAAATTTGAGTTGAATGTGTTGTACCGTTGGGGAGATAATGAACGGAAACTGAAAATTTCATATTGTTTTCAAAGGGAAAGGGGCATAACTCTGCCAAAAATCATCGAACCATGACCAAATTTGAACTTGACCTGTATTTTATCATGACATATCCATATGTCAAATTTGAGTTGAATGTGTTGTACCGTTGGGGAGATAATGAACGGAAACTGAAAATTTCATATTATTTTTAAAGTGAAAGTGCATAACTCTGCCAAAAATCATCGAACCATGACCAAATTTGAACTTGACCTGTATTTTATCATGACATATCCATATGTCAAATTTGAGTTGAATGTGTTGTACCGTTGGGGAGATAATGAACGGAAACTGAAAATTTCATATTGTTTTCAAAGTGAAAGGGGCATAACTTTG